GACCGCTTGCCAGTACACGCTGCATACCCCTTGGTACGCTCAGTGTACTGAGATGCTTGCCACCTTAAGCCATTTGGTGCTTAATCCTTTCAGCCATTCGATCCAACTTTCAGATCTCAACCATTATGGGGTTCTAAGACATAAAGTTGGCAACTTTATGCCTTAGCATGTCTTAATGGAACCCAACATCCGTTTTTGTCCAACAAAGCTCACATTAGGGACTTAAATTCATGCATGGACTCATATCAACCACCAAGATGACATTTTTATGCATCTAAAACTTCATAGGGACTGAGATCTAACACCTCTAACTTATGGAGTTGCCAAACTCACAAAAAGAACCCATGCGACCAAATAAACTCATAAACAAGCCCTAAACTCTAATAATCAAAATGAATCATCAAGGTAAGAACTTTTTACCTTCAAAAGCTTCCAAAGTTGATGAAGACTCTGGATCTAGAAGCTCAACCTCAACAAATGCTTGGTCTCTAAGTTCCTTATTCTTGAACACACACTAAAATGCCACAAAATCACTTCAAAGCTCAAGAACACTCAAAGAAGGGGGAGGGGGGGGGGGAACTAGGGTTTCAAAGGGACAAATTAATAGTGGAGGCTGATGAGAGTAAGTGTCCAAAGGCTATAATGATGTTTAGATAGGGCTCATGCCCTAAAAATTAGGCTTTGGTCTTGGCTGCCGTACGCCCCGCGTGTTAGGAATTGAGACAGGGTACACGCAGCGGAAACACTATCACACACACAAACGAAACGAGAAAATAAAGCAAGAAGGAACACAAGGATTTTACGTGGTTCGGATTCGGTGTAAATCCTACGTCCACGGGCTGCAACTAGATTTTCTTATTAACTCTATAAGATTACAATTTATAACTCTACAAGTTATATTTGATGCACACATACAAAGAGTTACATTGCACATATATATATTGAGATGTGCCGTAAACTTTTCTTCAATTCACATATTGTGAATATAATATTGCGGCCGAAAGTATGCATAGTCAAAGAAATATTAAACAATTGTTTAATTGATAGCCACCGTCCAACAATATTATTAAACAATTGATAGTGCGTCCAATTCAATATTCAATTGTTTTAATTTCCAAGTTTCATTTATGGCCCTTGAACTCTTAGGAACTTGTCAATTTGTTCAAGACTCCATAAATCTTAACAATCTCCCACTTGGAGGCTTGAACAACTTTAGCTTTTCTCCGCCATTCAACTCTCAATTATTCCAGTAATCTTAAAAAACAACCAAGTCCTTTTAGGCTTCCAGTTCCAATGAACAAGCTAAAACTTAGTCTGATTTCTCTAGTTGCAGCCGCCCCTCATCATCAATTACTAGAAGGGCCAGTTGAAGCTCCCACTAGCTCCAACTCAGTCGTGGCTAATCCCACCACCGACTCATCCTCTGTCTCAACTGGTTTGGACACTCCACCGGATCCAGAGATACACCGAGGACCACTAACACTCTCCAAACATAGCAAACATCCAACAGGAGAGAAATTTTCAGTCTTAGTCTTCAAAACCCAACGGCTCTTTGTAACTGTACCCGGAACACGCCCCGTGCTCCCACTGTCACAGAATCTCCTGACTGGTTTAGACTTTTCGACTCGTTCAGCTAACATCCCATTGGCTTCAGAATTCATGTTTGCAAAATGAACTCTCTTAGCCGTAGATTTAGCGAACCAGATTTTGTTGCTTAATCGGGATGGTCATACTTCCCTCAGTAGGTACCTCAACCATATACAATGACCCACGCTTCATACCACGAGCAATCACCAGATCACCATTGACCACCCTCCATTTACCACTTCCAAACCTTACTTCCAGTCCTTGTTTATCCAGCTGACCAACAGAAATCAATTTCTTCTTCAGCTCCGGAATCACCCTGACATCCTTCAGGCTCCATGTAGTTCCCAATGAAGTAACCAAATCAATATCTCCCATGCCCGTTACTTGAAGCATCTCGTCATTTGCTAACCGTACCTTTCCAAAATCTCCTTCTTTTAGATTCACCATCGTTTCCCCGTTGTCCATGGCGTGAAACGAAGCCCCTGAATCCATGACCCAAGAGTCTACAGAACTTTCCATACTGAGTATCAATGCATCATCCTCAGACACACTCTCAACACCGGTAATGTTCAATTCTTTCTTTGGACATTGACTCTTAACATGTCCCACCTCCTGGCAGTTCCAACACTTCACATTCTTCTTAGTTCTAGATGAACTTCTTCCCCGACTCCCACTGCTTCCACTATTCCTGCTATTCCATCTACCTCTTCCGACATTTAATAAATCAGAAGAGGAAGATCCACCTTGATTCTTGCGTCTGATATCCTCGCCTAGAACCAAATCTCTAACCCCTTCAAAAGTCATACCACTGGTCCCCACGGAACTCGTAACAGCGGTAACTGTTCCGGACCAGCTATCAGGTAGAGAAGCTAGTAGCAGTGATGCTTGAGTTCTCGTTATCAAATTTAATTCCCACAGATGATAATCTGGATAGAATTGAATTTAGATTGTTAATGTGAACCGTAACTGAGCCTTCCTCATTCATCCTTGTAGTGAACAACTCCTTCATCAAGAACACCTTGTTAGCCGCCGATGGTTTCTCATACATATTTGACAGAGCCTCCATCATACCACGTGCCGTGGTTTCATTCATGATGTTGAAAGCAACGCTCTTCGTCAACGACAATGTAATAACCGCCTTGGCTTTCTTGTCCTTTGAGTTCCACGCATCTTCAGCAGCTTTTTCCATTTTCTCCGGTTTGTCTCCGAGTACCATGTCCAAGTCGTTCTGACATAGCAATGCTTCTAATTGCATTTTCCACCAGCTAAAATCAGAACCATTGAACCTTTCGATTATAATCTTGTCTTCAGCCATTACGACAAACAAGATACAAATCAGGTACACTCGTGCGTGATAAAAAAAAACGATCGTACCCTCCAAAACCTCGCTAACCAGGCTCTGATACCAGTTGTTAGGAATTGAGACAGGATACACGCAGCGGAAACACTATCACACACACAAACGAAACGAGAAAATAAAGCAAGAAGGAACACAAGGATTTTACGTGGTTCGGATTCGGTGTAAATCCTACGTCCACGGGCTGCAACTAGATTTTCTTATTAACTCAATAAGATTACAATTTATAACTCTACAAGTTATATTTGATGCACACATAGAAAGAGTTACATTGCACATATATATATTGAGATGTGCCGTAAACTTTTCTTCAATTCACATATTGTGAATATAATATTGCGGCCGAAAGTATGCATAGTCAAAGAAATATTAAACAATTGTTTAATTGATAGCCATCGTCCAACAATATTATTAAACAATTGATAGTGCGTCCAATTCAATATTCAATTGTTTTAATTTCCAAGTTTCATTTATGGCCCTTGAACTCTTAGGAACTTGTCAATTTGTTCAAGACTCCATAAATCTTAACACCGCGTACACCACGTATGCCCAACGTACGTGGTTAAGTCCCCCGTCTCCAACCGCGTATGTACGCTAAGCATACCAAATGTACGCTCAACGTACGAGGGGCCATTCTTGCAAAAAATTATCAACGTTAAGGACCAAACAAGAACATACCTATAATCGAATGTTACAAAATCATTGCCGTATGATTGAAAAAATAAAAAAGTTATCGTCAAAATCTCGCGAGATGATATGACGATTTTGTAATTATGTGTGAGATTTTGGTATTTTCCGGTAATTGTTTGGAGGTTAAATAAGTAAAAAGGAATATATATATATATATATATATATATATATATATATATATATATATATATACACACACATATTATCTTTGATACTATAAGAGCTTAAAATGCTAATATAAAAGGCTAACGAGCCATTTATATCTAAGATGTTGTATTTTATGTTGATAAATTAATTTTTTAAGTGGAAGAATCATCTCTTTATTTATATATCAATGTATTTTTTTTCTTTCTCCTGCTTATTTAGGATATCCTAAACCTAATAAACCTGTTTATCTAATTTTTATAACTATTTCATTTTAAATATTAATTTCTTGTTAGTTTAAGTTTGTTATGGATGAGCTTTTTAACCTAAAAACCGAAACGGAACCGGTTTAAACCGATTAAGGTTATTCGGTTCGGTTCCCGGTTTCCCTGGTTTATCATTTTCGGTTTTGGATTCTTTCGGTTCTAGTCCGGTACCAAAAACCTTCATAGGTAACACACTTCTTTTGGACCCGAACCGGAACTGTTTGAAACCAGTTAGTAGTATTTGGTTCCACGTTCATTCCTTAATCGGTTTTCGGTTCTTTCGGATCCGGTCTGGTTCCGGACCGGTTTACATCCCGGATACTCCAAAACAAAGATATAATACAGAAAAAAACACAAATGTAATAAACGATTATTAATTTCAGTAGTCTTGACATTGGGTTAAAAAATGAGGAAAAAAAAAAAAAACTTTAGAGACCATGGCGTGAATGAGCTTATTTCATTTTTGCTGGCCGAGAAAAAACAAATGTACTGTAAGTCTGTCCTCAAAACAATTTGGCCCAAAGCCCACACCACACCAAGCTAAAGCCCAACTCCGAACCTTACATCGGGATTGGGTGCGATACGCGCGCCTATACGGCTATACCAAGGTTTTCTCTTATTAATTAATTAAAATTAAAATTAATAAAGCTATATATCCACTTTGTAAAAATTACAATATTTCAATCGTAATAAATATATATTTAAACTTTTGAAAAGTAATAATATTTCCTCAGCTCAAATCATGAATAGTGTTAATAAGGGGAAAGTTCGAAAAACCATGTACCACTACCAGGGCAATTTCGTCAACTCCGTGCCTTGCCTTGCCTTGATCCGGATCTTGAACCCTTGGCCGTATATTGATCGTTGGATCAGCACCTCATCGACCGTTAACAGTGAGACCGAATGTAGGAGAGTGGCCCTCGAAAATTTCAAAAACTCGATCGATCCCGCTGCTTCTCATTTCCTTCCAACGTTCTATCATCTGTCCAACTAAACACACCGCAGACATCGAATAATCTCTCCATCTTGCACACAACACACACACACACACACACACACTGACTGTTTGCAGAGATGTCCGGTCGCCATGAAAAGGGCGTCAATGTTCAGGTTCTTCTTCGATGCAGGTACTGCGGATCTAATGCTCTATTTTCGCTTTTGTTGGTTCCTGATTTCGATTACGGTTTCGAGATTCCCTTTTTGATAATCTAATTCGTGTGTGGAAATATAATTGTTTGTTAGGCCTTTTAGTGATGACGAGTTAAGGAACAACGCGCCTCAGGTGGTAACGTGTAATGAGTATCAGAGAGAAGTTGCGGTTTCACAGAGTATTGCTGGGAAACAAATCGATAGGGTTTTCACCTTTGACAAGGTACCTGATTTACTAGAACACTTAAATTAAATTGATTCTTATTCTTTTCTTTTGATTTGAGGAATTTACAAATTGCATTGCATTTTAAGTTTGTGACTCGGGGATATTTACAAATTACAGACATGGTTCTGCGTTTTTATTTATTGTTTTGATGATGCATTGATCTTAACCCTGAAAGCAGTTTGATTATAAATCCACTAGCCAATGGAGTTATGTTAAACTAACTATCAAGTTATCAAATTTTAAACAAAGCAGTTGCTTTTTGAAGTACAATAACATGTCTTAGTAATTCGGTTTTTCAATTTGTGTATGTTGCTTCCTTGCTCCACTATCTAGGTGGTAGAAAGCCTTGAGGTTTAGATTCACTAGATATAAGAATGAAAAGAGATTTAATAACACCATAATGCTATGCTTACCAATCCACTATTATTATCTTTCTGTATGCAGGTTTTTGGACCTACCTCTCAACAAAAAGATTTATATGAACAAGCAATCACTCCCATAGTAAATGAAGTTTTAGAAGGATTTAATTGTACTATTTTTTGCTTATGGACAAACAGGAACCGGAAAAACTTACACCATGGAGGGTGAATGTAAGAGATCAAAGGTAGTAGTCTCCTTTTCTTTTGTATCGATCTTGTAGCTTAATTTGTTACTTTGTTGTATGAGTTGTTACTAGTTATTGACTTTCTATGGTTAATCCTTGAACAGAGTGGGCGTGATGGAGAGTTGCCTTCACATGCAGGATTAATCCCTAGAGCTGTAAAACAAATATTTGACACTTTAGAGCACCAAAATGCTGAGTATAGTGTTAAAGTAACTTTCTTGGAGTTATATAATGAAGAAATCACCGACTTACTTGCTCATGAAGAGATTTCAAGAGTTGTTGAGGACAAACAGAAAAAGCTTTTGCCACTCATGGAAGATGGTAAAGGTGGTGTTCTTGTGAGAGGATTGGAAGAAGAGATTGTTACAAGTGCTAGTGAAATTTTCTCCTTATTAGAGAGAGGTTCTGCAAAACGTCGAACTGCAGAAACCTTGTTAAACAAACAATCAAGGTTTTGAGTTTTTCTTGATGCTCTTCAATGTTTGATTGAAAATGAAAACTCATTGTCCTCTAACAAAGTTACTTTTTTTTCCTTCAGTCGCTCACATTCTTTGTTTTCTATAACCATACACATCAAAGAGTCCACCCGTGAAGGTGAAGAACTTATCAAATGTGGCAAACTGAATCTTGTTGATTTAGCTGGTTCTGAAAATATTTCAAGATCTGGTGCTAGGGAGGTAATTTATCCATCAAATTTTCATTGATAGTTAAAAGATTGTATCCTTTTTGTAAAATTTATAATTTGCAATTTTTAGGGTCGTGCAAGAGAAGCTGGAGAAATAAACAAAAGTTTACTTACTCTAGGAAGAGTAATAACTGCTCTAGTGGAGCATCTTGGGCACATCCCTTACAGGTTTGTATGAACCTTTTAAGCACTTTGACAAATTTTCCTTTACTCTTAACATTCATGGTTTCCGGATTTTGATTTTTGAGTTTTATGTAATCCAGGGATAGCAAATTAACTCGTCTTCTTCGTGATTCATTGGGTGGAAGGACTAAAACATGCATCATTGCTACTGTATCTCCTGCTGTTCATTGTCTTGAAGAGACCTTAAGCACATTGGATTATGCTCACAGGGCAAAAAATATAAAGAACAAACCTGAGGTTAGCCTCTATTCTTACATGTTAATCACCTCACCTTGTTTTTATACCAGATTGTTAGTGGATTATGCTTCCCTTTTGTCTTTTTGTTATAGGTTAATCAGAAGATGATGAAAACTACTCTTATCAAAGATCTTTATGGTGAAATCGAAAGACTCAAAGCTGGTAACAATTTGCTTCCTTTTTTATAACACAATGAAGAGACCAAAAGACTTATTTAGCCCTAACTGGTTAGCTAATTCTCTTTTATATTCTACATGCAGAGGTTTATGCATCACGTGAAAAAAATGGAGTTTATATGCCTAAAGAGAGATACTATCAAGAGGAGTTGGAACGTAAGGTACTGGACATTTTTTTACCCTTTTTGTAACAATGCTTGAGGTTTGTTGTAATCTTATTTTATTTTATAATCTTTATAGTTTGAATCAAATGAATAATTGGTGTGCATCATAATATAATTATATATAAATGTTTAACATTCTTTTTTGTTTAGTCAATGGCAGATCAGATTGAACGAATGGAAGTTAAAATAGAAAACCAAGAAAAGGTATTACAGTTTTAGTCTTGCTTTCTTTATTTTGGGACAAAAAATGGTTCTTATTATTGTCTCTTATTTTTTTATTTGTTGAATAAACAGCAATATGAAGAATTGCAAACTAAATTTAATGCACGTGTCCAAGAATGCTCAGATTTGAGTAACAAGCTCAATTCTACCCAGGTAAAATGCTACTAAATGACATACATTTTTGTTGGATTTCATATATTGTTACTAAATATATATAATTTTCTCTATTAATTATTCTTCAGAATGATTTAAATCAAACTAGTAAGGCACTAGCTAATACCCAAGAAGAATTAAAGAAATGTGAATATGTGATAAAGGAACGAGATTTTATCATAAGTGAACAGAAAAAATCAGGTATCTTTTGATTTCTTGATTTCTTCAATGTCAATTTTTTTAATTCTTTCTTTATATAAAATACTAATGAGTAATAAACATTGTAAACAGAAAATGCATTGACTCATCAAGCTTGTGTTCTTCGGTCTGACTTGGAAAAATCCCTTAAGGACAATTCATCATTGTTTATGAAGATCAGTAAGCATTCCCTTTTTTAAAATTTTAAAGTTTTCTCTTTTGATTTATTTGAACTTTTTTTTAAAAACTAGTTTTCCTGTATTTTATGCAGCAAGAGAAGATAAACTGAATGCTGATAATAGATCTGTTGTGAATAAGTTTGAATCTGAACTCACACAAGACATTAAATCTCTTTGCGACATGGTTGCCACATCATCATCTCAGCAAAATCAACAACTTCAATGCATTGAAAAGTTTTGTCATACCTTCATTAACATTAACGATAAGGTCAGTTGTTGACTCCAAAAAGATAGTTGCTTTGACTTTTGACTTTTGATTTCTTATAAACTTTTTTATGTTTTTAGGCTGTGAATGACTTGAAAAAGAAAGTTTGTGCTTCAAAAGCGTTGTATGTTTCTCACCTTGAGGCATTGCAAAACGTTGTGGTTTTACATAAAGCAAACTCTAATGCAAACTTAGAGGAGGTTCTATCTTTGACTTCATCTAATGCTTCTTCTGTTGAAAAAGTAAGTACTTTAATTCAATATTTTAAATCCATAAAGTCAACATATTGACCACACTTGTTTTGTCTGAATCAGGTATTAGCTGAAGAAGCATTTGAAGGACTTTCTATTTTTGATGAACTTCATGGCTCTTTATCAACTCAACAAGGCGAAATGGCACATTTTGCTAGAGAGCTTCGACAGGTATGTTTTTATTTATTTATTATGAGAGTTTATTTATTATTATCTTATCTTATCTTTTTTTTTTTGGTTTAAATTTTTCAGCGATTTAATGTCAGTGTTGGACATACAACGGATATATCCAACTTCATCAATGAATTCTTTGATAAGTTAATGGAAAAATCAAAAGATCTAGGAAGTCATGCCATTCAAGTCGATGAGATACAAACAAAAAACATTGATGAATTTCAGAAGGCATACGAGGTATTATATTATATATTATATAATATTAATAGATAATAGATAATAGATGATTATTCATCATTGAATCCAAACGTGATACAAAAACTCATTGCATTTTAAAAATAAATATTTTTTTTTCTCCAGGAACATGCGAAATCTGATGCTGAGAAACTTATTGCTGATGTAACTAGTTTATTATCTAACCATATTTGTCGTCAAAAAGAAATGGTTAGTTTAATTTGCCCTTTTTTTTTTTCTATGAATTGAAAGAGGAATTGATGGTGGAGAGTTTACATACAGGTGGACACACGACTAGCTACAATCAAAGAAACTGCGACTGGAAGCAAGAAGATTTTGGATGGACAGGTGTCATCGTTTGAGAGGATCACATCAGATGCGAAAAGAAAATGGGAAGAGTTTTCCACACAAGCAGAAAATGACGCCAAAGAAAGTGCTGATTTTGCTGCTGCTAAACACTGTCGCTTTGAGTCAGTTCTTCAGAAATGGTAATAAGAAGAAATAAATAATCCAGTTTTGATTTTTATACGTTCTTTAAAAAACGAAATCACTAACTTTTTTTCTTTTAATAATAATTTCCAGTTTTGATACGACTGAAACGGCTCTACAACATTCTAGAAAAACACAGGATTTGGTTATTGAAATGGGAAAAAAACATGTGACACAAGTCAACTCCTGTGTGAAAAGTGGAGTTGAGAGTAACGAACAGCATGATGTTGAGATTAGTTCCTTAAGGGCTACTGCTGAACATGATGTCTTGAAGAACAGCGAGAATATTTCAACGCACTTTCATGGTAAGTAAATCTTTTAAAAAAAAAAAAAATAAATTTGAATATTTGTTACCATAGTGATTGATGGTGTTTATGTTTTTTATATATACACAACACAGGTACATCAGAAGAAGAGAGAGAGGTAGTTTCTTCAATTCTGGAAACAACAAAATCTCAAACCAAAAATCTTGAAAGCTTACATAAGGATCATGGAACACAATCTGCCTCTATACAACAAAAGTCTCACGATACTTTCCACCAGAAATACATGGTATGGAATATGAAACTACAATGATTTTTTTTCTTTTCTTTTTCTAACATGTTATTATGTACACAGGATTATGAGGCAACAGGAAATACCCCGGTAAGAAGTGATACAGATGTCCCAAGTAAAATGAGCATAGAATCCCTTAGAGCAATGCCAATGGAGAGCTTAATGGAAGAATTCAGGGAAAATCATTCATATGAAGGAAAGGATTCCAAGATTTCTCCTGCTACTGCTACTACACGCCCACCATTGACACAAATCAATTGAAATTCCTATTTTTTCATGTACAAAATCTTGTTGCTTCTGTATATGATCAAAATATATCCCTGCTTGGGATTTAATGGGTTTTATATTAAAATCAAAGGTGGTAAGAAGATCGGGGAAAGTTATGATTAATGTAGGGATTTTTGTTCATTTGGGAAAATATTTAATTTCTCCTTTTTTTGTTATGTTGTAATGGTTTAGGGAAGAGAGTAGTATTGTTTTACTGTTGGATACTGATAGGATACCTTTCTTATATCACAGTTGAGATTTATGTTTGTATACGTTGTTTGTTTCAAAACTATGTTTTGGGTAAGATTTCTAAGTAAGGAACAAATAGATTATAGATGATTTCTAGAAATGTTAAGGTGTGAGTTTAAGGAAACTATGTTTTGGGTAAGATTTCTAAAGTCCTCGACCCCTCGTAAATTCTAAAAGAACCGGAAGCATGTAAATTATGGATTGATTTGTTAAGAGGGGCGGGTGTGGGCAACGCCCGTATGGTGTTATCCGATGTGGCAGCGCCATAACGGGGGAACACTGCCCCCCCTCCCGTTATTAGATGTTATGTTATCTCGCGCGATGGTGGTAACGTATCTTAACGCGTATAAAATCGACCGTTTGCAAATTCAAACCGTTTAAAAACGGTAACTTTAATAAAAAAAAATAAAATTACTAATTACATTTTCATTTTATATATATACCTCATTCTTTTTACTATACATATTTCTCTATATCTATCTCTATTTCTATATCACTCAAAACACAAACACAAAAATCAACCAACTATGGATGAATTTGATCCGGCCCATCCGTACAATGATGATAACGACGAAGACGATTTGTTCGTGAGTATGATGTACCGGTATTACACAGACAACCTACTACAGCCAGATCCAGCTCCACTACTCACGCGACGTGCGGCGTTAAATAGAGACCGTGAGGAAGGGCATCGGCAGCTAGTTAACGATTACTTTGCGGAAAATTGTGTCTACCAACCAAGCGATTTCAAAAGAAGATTTCGTTTGCGAAAAAATGTCTTTGAAAGGATAGCCAACGCTATGGAAGCAAGGTATCGTTTGATTCAACTTTTATAATTTACAAAATGTCACTTTTAGATAAAATAAATACAATTTTTACATGTTTAATATTTATTTAGGTATGAATTTTTCTAAATGAGATATGATGCTAGAGGCAAACGAGGCTCCACAGGGTTGCAAAAATGTGTTGCTGCAATTAAACTTATGGCAATGGGGGAGTCGCCCAATTCTGTTGACGATTATATGAGAATGTCTGAGAGGACCGCACGAGAAAGTTTGTATTTATTGGCAAGAGGTGTTGTCGAAACCTTCGGTGACCAATACTTGCGCAAACCTTCGTTGCATGATATGCAACAACTATATGTGGTGCATGAAGAAAGACATGGTTTTCCGGGTATGCTTGGGAGCATTGACTGCACACACTGGAAATGGAGAAATTGTCCCGTGGCGTGGAAAGGCCAGTATTCGAGCGGTCATCATGGAGCGCCTTCGTTGGTATTAGAGGCTGTTGCTTCACAAGATTTATGGATTTGACATGCTTTTTTCGGGGTTGCGGGTTCTAACAACGACGTCAACGTTCTCGATCAATCACAAATATTTGACGATCTTTTGTCAGGAAAAGCCTCGGATGCTCCTTTCACAGTGAATGAAAATGAATATAAGTTTGGGTATTACCTTACAGACGGAATATATCCACAATATTCCACGTTTGTGAAGGCGTTTCGACACCCAATAGATCCAAGGGACAAATATTTCAAGAGACGACAAGAAGGAGCTCGTAAGGACGTTGAACGTGCTTTTAGGGTTTTGAAATCAAAATGGCACATAGTTGAACATGCGGCGAGACCTTATGAGTTAGATACTCTACGATATATCATGTATGCATGTATCATAATGCATAACATGGTTGTCGAAGATAAAGGACGCAATATTGCAACGTATTCGCCTACGGAGCCAAGACATGTGCAATTTCAACCAGGGACATCAGAATATTTACATAGAGTGGTTGATATTCAAGATCAGCGAAAACACAAGCAACTCCGTGAAGACTTGGCGGATTACATCTATGTTGGTCACGAAGATGAACATGAATAGTTTTAGGCCAAAAAATGTAGGTTTTATCATTTTTTTTTTAAGGTTTTAAATGTTTTTGTGTTTTGTTGTAATTTTTTTAATGTTGTTTTTAATTTCAGTTTTATTAAAATTTTATTTTTACTTTTCAAATATAAATAAATAAAAAAAACAAATTCGAAATATAGAAAAAAAAACATCAAAAAAAATAAAAAAAAAATAAAATAGGAAATAATTGGTGTTATCACATGTTGCCCATTTCCACCTTGGGTGTTATAACACCAAATTGTGACTAGGATGATGAGGTGGACAATTTGGGTGTGATAACATGTAATAACATGTTGCCCACACCTAGTAGTCTAATGGAAAAGGGTCAAGAAGTTATGTTTTCTAAAGTTTAAGCTAAAACATTTTTTTCGGGCTCCAACCATACACTATAATTTACATTAAAAAAAATATTTGAGTAAATTACACGAATCGTCTCTCGTGCAGGTGAAAAAATACATGTTATTTCTTTATTTTAAAAAATTAATTCGGATCGTGTCCCTCATTTGATTAAAAGTTGTATGTTTCATCCCTCGTTAGTTTAAATTTGCAGGTTTCATTTCTTGCGAGACATGAAATGACTATAATGCCATTTTCAATTTATTTTTTATATTTATGATTATTTTTAATTATTAAAATTTTTAATTAAATTTAATATATATTTCTTTTTTGCTTTGCTAGAGAAAACTTAAACACCACCATCGGAAAAATAGAGCACCACCGTAAACCCTCTTGACTACCGCCACTGACCACCACCATCACCACATGTGCGCTAAGATTTTGAGAAAGAGGGGAGATGTAATTACGAAAGTAGATCAACAAGAGATGTGTGGTTTCAGATCTAGCATTTTGGGGGGGTTTCATGATGGATTTCACTTTGGGGCTTTCAGATCGAGCATCACCACCACCAGGAATCAAGGAATCAGAGGTGGTGAGACGAGTTTGGAAACTGCAAATCCGATGGTGGTAATGCATTTGTACCTGAGCGGCGGTGATGCATTGGAGCAAAGTCACATCCTCTCGATCTTCTTTTGTAATGGGAGAATCCATCATTAGAAAGATATGGAAAACACATCTCATATCTTTCATTCTTCTCCAAATCCTTCAAGAGCTTGTTGAGATTTGCAAATCAGAAACTGTTTTTGAAGTTCATGAAGTTGAAGCTGAAAACTTTCTTGAAGTTAAAAGCTGAAATCGTTGCACTTTTGAAGACGTGTGATGTGATGGTGGAGATAGGATCGTCGGAGAAGCATAAGGGGGTCACCGATTTTGGTCTGGGTGGAGTTCGAAGAATATTTCTTTTATTAAAGATAAAAAAATAACTATTTCTTATAATAAACAAATCATTAATAATAATTAAATAGAAAATTAATAAAAAATAAATAAATAAGGGAAAAGTTGTCTTTTTATGTCCGGTGGGATGAAACGTGCAACTTTTAACCAAACAATGGACGATCCGAGTTAATTTTTGAAAATAAGGACTGAACGTACATTTTTGCAACTGCACGATGGACAATTGGTGTAATTTACTCAAGATATTTTAATATCATAAATTCTAATAAAATAATTGTAATAGATAAAAAAAAGACAAATACTCTTTAAACAATTGAAAATCTAAAAAAATAGGTATTAATTTTGCATTGGCATTTGTGAAATTGGTGATGTTAATTTGAGAAAATATGATGTCATATGATAAGTTAATGTTTAGTTTAAAATAAATGATTATTGCTACCGTAGCACAACGAAGTTTAGTGATTTTACACATTTAGTTACTCATGTTTTTTTTTGCACAATTAGTCATTAAACTTATAAACTTCGTTTCAATTACACCATAACCCCCAACCAATTCCGACCACCCCGCACCATTTTACCACCGGGAAACAGCAAGTCCGCCACCACTACTCTAACAAGCCGGAAAAATCGAAAAAAACCTCATTTCGCCACCACCTTCCATCAAAACTCAAAATTTCTTGGGGCACTCTTCACCAAATACTTCCGAGCACGCCGATCTACTGTCAATTTGGAAAAATTAACTCGCCGGAAAAGCTAGCTCCGCCGCCGGCTGCCACCCCTCATTTTGGCGAAAATTTTCAAAATTTTTGTTTCTCACCGGAGATTCAAAAGACTCAACCTTGCGGGTCCAATTCAAGCTTGGGGTGCGGTTTTAGCATTTTTCCTTTCGGGTTTCGACACTCAAATTTGGTATATTACTTTTAATTTTCTTGCATTTAATTTCTAAGTTTGATAGACTTATGCAATGCATTAGGGTGCTTAGAATTAACTTGCTTTGAATTAATTGAATTACATTACCTTGAATTGTGCCAAATTGCAAGTTTGGAGTGTTGCCCGATTTATATTTATACTTATATTTTTATTTAGATTGATTGGATTGGTGTGAGGCGGGTGTGAGGGATAATCTTGGTCAAGTTTTTGTCTTTGCTAGGTTATATTAACAGGTACAATGGGTAAGAACAAAACCATTCACACGTCTCATTGTTCTTCCCGCGAAGCTCAATCGTCGAGATCATCCAAAAAAGTCTCAACTGAGCATGTCGATCGTGATGGTAACCTTGTCCTCACTAGTGCACAAATCAAGCAATTCAAGTCAAACCTCCACAAACGTGCAATCCGAGCCACCAAATTTTACCACCGGGAATCCATGATCAACCTTGGCCTTGACGATTGCTTGCAACAGATGTTCCTCAACATGGGTTGGTGTGATTACCTAGCTCTTTCCGAGCGCAAATACAAGCAACCCACACGAGTTCCTTTCCACTTATGCACAGGATGACACGGCGGAGGTGCTCACATTTAGACTCCAGGGTCGGCATCACCGACTCACCTACGACACCCTCACCACTATCATGGGCACATACAACAACCACAACACCAACATCTATAGTTATCCATGGACTCAATTCAAGACCTTTCCCAAAGTAGAGATTTGGACTCAGATCACCAGTCTTCCAAAATTCAATCCAAGTCGACAAAAAGACCCTTACATCATCCATCCTTGTTGGAGAATCGCCCACCTGATTCTTTCAACCTCCATCTTTGGTCGTCACGAGCCTGGAAAAATAAACACAGTCGAG